GACACAAGGTCTGTAGCTGGGCGCACCGGGATACTCAGCAGCGCTGTCCCTCACGCGCCCCCACAGCCAAAGGCAAGGGGCAGGTGCAGCGAGAGAGACAGACATGCCGGAGGCCCCGCACTCTCAGGCATCACTGAAAACCCCCGCTATAAAAAGGAACGAAGTCCTGCCACGTGCGACAAGAGGGCTGAACTAAAAACGAAGTCACAAAGGACCACATGTTGATGATGCCATTTATATCACATGTTGCATGACGCCATTTATATCACACGTCCAGAAGCGGCAGCTCCACAGACAGAAGGCGGATGAGTGGCTGTCAGAGGCTGTGGGTGAAGGGGAACAAAGCGGCCGCTAATGGGGACAGAATCTGTTTTCGGGGTGAGACAAACACTCTAAAATTAGATCCTGCTGATGGTCACAGCAGCTCAGCATAGTTACTAAAGATCACTAAATTAAACATTTGAAACAGGTGCGTTTTATATGTAAAATTATATATAAACATTACTTTGTGTCTAATACCTTTACAAGCTGTTAAAAGAACTTTTTAAGAAACACAGAACAAAGAGTGACGAAGGCTGTTCAAGTAGCAGAAGGAGGGCGATTGGGTCAGGGCACAGCTCAGGAGACGGAAGCCTCGGGAGGGGTTCTCCGTGGAACCGGCAACCAGCTGGCAGAAGGCCAGGACGCAGGCCAGCACCTTCCAGGTCCCCGGTGCCTCCGTCCGGGGAACGGAGAACGCGTGAGAAGAGACAGAGGACGCCAGGAAGACCACAGCAGCACAAGGTGCCGAGCACAGGCCGCCCTCCGCCGGGACACGGGCTGGGGGCTCGGGGGGTGTCTCGGTGTATAGATCAGGTCGGGGATCACCTGGCCTTGGAGAGTGGAACACAAACTATAGACGGAGGCCGGGAGGAAGCAGAAGGTGAGAGGCGGAGCTGCCCGGACACCAGCACCCTCCTGAGTACCTGTCCCGGTGTGCAGAGCCGAGAGGACCAGGCCCTGATCCGCAGGCCAGCTCTGCCCTCCCCAGGCTGTGTGAGGGGAGCAATCGCTCTGCCGCCCCACGCCTCGGTTTTCTCCCCTGCGGCACAGGGAAGGTACAGACGTCTCCCCACGCTGCTTCCATGGGGGTGAAAGGGCAACCCCACCAAGCACGGCTGGGCCTGGCGCAGAGCAAAGCCATCAACAAGTGGTAACAGTAAGAACCGTACACCTCTGGGAGCTGGAACTGTGGCCCTGCCTTTCCCTGTGCGTCCCCCGCACCTCCCTGGTCAGACCGACCGCGCCAGCACGGCTCTGGAAACCACGCCATCAATAAACGCACTCTGCCTCCCCTCACCTCCGGTTTTCCCATCTCCGCGTCATCTCTGTGAAGCACTCTCCTTCCCGACATAAAACCCGTCTGCAGGGGCACCGCCATCGGCTCTTAGCACGCAGGAACGTGCAGCCTGCCAGAAGGGGGTCTGCAGGGCAGGAGGAAGGCAGGACTGCAAGCAGGGCTGGACGGGCGCACCGGCAGCACCGCCGGCACCGCCGGCAGCCGGGGAGGCGCAGGGTCTCTCTGGCATCCTCAGAAGCAAACAACCCTGTCGCACCTTGAGCTTGGACTTGGGCTCTGCAGATCTGAGGGAGGAAACCTCCCTGGCGCTTCACGACACCCCGGTACAGCAGCCCTAGTAACGGAAGCTGGAGGTGACCCATTTTCCTATCTAAGGCTTGGATTCTCTGGCCCAGAGGGCAGCAAGTCAGCTTCTGTTTGGCTAAGACAAAACAAAACCACAGCTGAGCGTCTACCGAGACCTGGCTGCCTTAAGATCCTGCACTCAGAGACTGATGACTGAGCATCGCTGTACGCCAGGCTCTTCTCTGGCCACTGCTGACGGAGTGGCAAAGGGGAAGAGACGGCAAGAAGCCCTCTCGGGGCCAGCGCTGTGGCGCAGTGGGTTACGCCGCCACTTTCAGCGCCCATGTACCGTGTCAGAGTGCTGGCTTGTGTGCCAGGTCCTCCACTTCCAATCCAGCTTCCTGCTAGTGTGCCTGGGGAGGCAGCAGGGGATGTGCTAAGCACCCGGGCCCTTGCCAGCCACATGGGAGACCCAGACGGAGTTCCTGGCTCCTGGTGTTGGCCTAGCTCTGCCCTAGACATCTGGGGAGTGAACCAGCAGATGGAAGATCTCTTTCTCTCTCTCTCCTTCCCTCTCTGTCACTCTGCCTTTCAAATAAAGATTTTTTAAAAACTATTCTCAAATAAACAAGATCATTTCTGATATTGCTGTAAAGCAAATAAAACAATAATATCACAGAGCAAGTAGGCTGGGGATCAGAGGAAAAGCAAAGTTAAGGACGGTCTCACGCGGGGTGTGATGGGGAGCTGGCCATGGGAAAATCTAGCAAGAGGAGTGGGCAGGGCAAAGGCACTGAGGCAGGGCGACCCAGGCAGCACAAGGCACAGAGACTGACGGAGCGAGAGGAACAGGGGAGGTCGGTCAGCTCCCGCATGGCCAGCGCAGCAGGCCCAGAGGCCAAGGTAAGAAGTCTGAACTGACCCCAAGACTGACGAGAGGCTGCTGGGGAAAGACACAGCCTGACCCACGGTTCTGAAAACATCGCCGTATTCAGCCACGTTCTTAACACTAAAGGCTTTCTAACTGTCATCGTTGTCCTTTGGATCCTGGGACCTTGGGCCTCTTCGGGACACGTTTCATCAACGACGGCCCTGAGTCTCCTAGAATCCTGGCTCTGAGAGTCTACAGTCACTCACACTGGCGCAGCTTCCAATGCACACGCTGGATTTTTTCTACCCCCTCCTTGAATGTGACATCTGGAAAAGAACACAACATGCTATGCAGGGAGCAGACTGGAACGATCACCTTTTTTATTTTTAAGTGAATTCTTTTAAAAAAAAGAAGATTTATTTATTTATTTATTTGAAAGACAGAGTAACAGAGAGGTAGAGGCGGAGAGAGATCTTCCATCTGCTGGTTCACTCCCCAGATGGCTGCAATGGCCAGAACCGTGCAGATCCAAAGCCAGGAGCCAGGAGCTTCCTCCAGGTCTCCCAGGTGGGTGCAGGGGCCCAAGGACTTGGGCCACCTTCCACTGCTTTCCCAGGCCACAGCAGAGAGCTGGATCGGAAGTGGAGCAGCCGGGACTTGAACCGGCGCCCATACGGGATGCCAGCACTGCAGGCAGCAGCTTTGGCTGCTACATCACAGCGCCGCCCCCCATCACCTTTTTGATTCCAGATCCACACTTCTCTCATTATGTGCCAAGACTGCCTTTGTACCATGGACCTGCCAAAACGTACATGTATCAGGCAACCTCGTCCTAAATCCTTTCGGTGATGCCCAGATCTAGAAAACAGGACTAAAGCTTGTTCTTCCCTAACGAGAACAGCTGTGCCCTGTTGCAAAAAAAAAAGTGTCATCATAACCCAAACAATGTCACCATGAAATACTGATTAAAATAAACAGCCTTCCTGGGTCACCTCTCAGGTTTCACAACACTTCTCTCCGGGGTGGAGGACACGGAAAACTAAGAGAGCAGGTTCCGCAGCACGGCCTCGCACTGTTGCACCACACGGCTGAGCAAGCGAGGCTGTGTGCAAACACCAAGCGCCCGGACCAGAGGCACCGCGCAACCACACTTCCTCCCGGGTTCCGCAGACAAATCTGAGTCGACACAGGCTACCTGGAGCTTGGGCTGCAGTCCGTGGGGAGGAGGACACTGCCGGCGGAGCCTCAGGACCCTCCGCAGGACACACGGCCCACCCCGGCCCCTCGCACATGGCGCTCCGCGAGCAGGGATGGGCTCGCCCCCACCGCCAGGCAGCTGAGTGGAATCCTTCGCCCTCACAGCTGGGCGGTCCCGGGCAAAGCACTCGGCCTCAACCGCCCCCTCTGTGACGTGGGAGTGGCACCCTATACCGCGCCCACGTTCGTGGTGAAGGTGAATTAAGAGAGTGTGTGTGGAGGAACTCTGTCACACGAATCGGAGGGGTCCTTACTGGGAAGAGGACTCTTACTCCCCTGTGTGTGGCTCCTGTGCCTGGTTGGCTTTTCATGCCTTTGCTTTTTCGATGATACATGATTTGTTTGTTTGGAAGGCAGAGTGAAAGACGGGGGGGTGGGATGTCTTTCATCCACTGGTTCACTCCCCAAATGGCTGACAGAGCCAGGACTGGGCCAGGCTGGAGCCAGGAGCCAGGAGCCAGGAGCCAGGAGCTCCCCCGGGCTTCCCCGAGGGTGGTGGGAGCCGCAGCCCTGGAGCCTCTGCCGCCCGCCGAGCTGACACGAGCCGACATGAGCTTCTCCACCGCAACACCAGCCCCCCCCCCTGTTATTTTTAGTATCTCCAGGCTGCTTTTGATGTTGCTTTTAACCTGATTATTTTTGTTTTGAGAGATGAGGCAGGAGAGAGAGAAAGGAAGAAAGGGGGAGAGGGAAAGAGAGAGCGGCGTCCCCCACATGAGCCTTCCGTAGAGATTTTCCAAAAACCAGCCCCTCACCGCCCCCGGGGGTCGCCACGCCGTGATGTCCCTGACAAGCGAAGCTGCTGGCATAGCGAGCCACACGGAGCAGCTGCGGCTTTCCCCGCTTTCTGGAATTCTGCAGCCAACGACGGACGGCCTGTGACTTACTCACATCACTGGAGCGCCTCACACGCCCGTCCTGACGTCCTCGAAGAAACCAGTCCTCACACTGCCTGCCGCACACCATCCACGCGAAACACCGAGCTGGGGGAAGCTGCCCCTCGCCCGGGGGTCCCTGTGCGAGTCCTGAGCCGGTTCACCCCCCCGTGGAAAACCTCGAGTGTGCTTTTCCACTGTGAACAGACCTCAGCAGCCTACCGCCTGTGCTTCAAAGGCACAGCAGCCCTATTTCTGAGCAAAGTGGAAACTGCACAGGCAACAGCCAGAGGGAGACCCCGCGATGCGGGCGGACGCTCCCCAAGAGAGACACGCAGACGGGAAGCCACGCGCCCCTCCTCAGACAACTCACCCGCGCTTTGCCCTCCGCTCTCCACACAACCAACGTTGAGCGTCTTGGCTGCCCTGCTTTGGTGTTTAGGGAAGGGGTCGCCTCCAGTCAGGTGAGAAATTAGCTATGCTCCGGCCCCGGCAGCGGCCCTGGCGGCTGTCAGGCTGCCTCCCCGCGGGGACAGCCGCCGTGTCAGGCTGCTCCCCTGTGCCAGCTCCGAGCCGAGGTCCTGCTCATCCCGCGAGCTGGCACCTACCGAGGCAGGAAGGGGAGTGGGCCAGCGCCCCTGCCAGGTCTTCCTCCTGGGCCCCTCTCCCCAAATCCGCAACCTGCCTCCCCCGGGAGGAGTGCGGTCCCAGTACGAGCGGGGACGAGCACGGGCTCCAGGCAGACTTTCAAAGATCCTGGAAACTGGCTCAATCCAGCCGGAACTAGCTGTCCTGACCTGAGCTTCCCAAACCGCATGTCCCTTGCCGTCCCCTCTGCGGACTTCCTCTGTGCCCATCGCGAGCAGCAGGGAGCCCGCGGAGGACAGGCGGGGCTGACGGCCGAGTCCCCGCCCTCACCTCCACCGCGCCAGCCCCGCAGCAGCCAGGCAGCCAACTCCACGGCAACACAGCCAGGACCCGACACCCCTCCCAGCACGCCCTGCCAGGAGACGGGAAAGCCACCCATGGCCACATCGGCCCGCGGACACCTCCGCCGGACGCCAGCCCCTGTGCTGGGGACCCCCGTGCCCCTTCCCTATGCCCTCACCCCTTGACAAGCTGTCACCCCATGGAGAACCTGTCACCCCACAGAGAACACTGTCACCCCATGGAACCCCGTCTGTCACCCCATGGAGAACCCTGTCACCCCACAGAGACCAGTCACCCCCATGGAGAACCTTGTCACCCCACAGAGAACACTGTCACCCCATGGAACCCCATCTGTCACCCACAGAGAACCCTGTCACCCCCATGGAGAACCCTGTCACCATACAGAGACCAGTCACCCCACAGAGACCAGTCACCCCCACGGAGAACCTGTCACCCCACAGAGAACACTGTCACCCCATGGAACCCCATCTGTCACTCCATGGAGAACCCTGTCACCCTACAGAGACCAGTCACCCCCACGGAGAACCTGTCACCCCACAGAGAACACTGTCACCCCATGGAACCCCATCTGTCACTCCATGGAGAACCCTGTCACCCTACAGAGACCAGTCACCCCCATGGAGAACCTGTCACCCCACAGAGAACACTGTCACCCCACAGAGAACACTGTCACCCCATGGAACCCCATCTGTCACTCCATGGAGAACCCTGTCACCCCACAGAGACCAGTCACCCCCATGGAGAACCTTGTCACCCCACAGAGAACACTGTCACCCCATGGAACCCCGTCTGTCACCCACAGAGAACCCTGTCACCCCCATGGAGAACCCTGTCACCCTACAGAGACCAGTCACCCCCACGGAGAACCTGTCACCCCACAGAGAACACTGTCACCCCATGGAACCCCATCTGTCACCCCATGGAGAACCCTGTCACCCTACAGAGACCAGTCACCCCCATGGAGAACCTGTCACCCCACAGAGAACACTGTCACCCCATGGAACCCCATCTGTCACTCCATGGAGAATCCTGTCACCCCCATGGAACCCCAATTGTCACCCACAGAGAACCCATATCCATCACCCCACAGAGAACCCTGTCACCCCATGGAACCCCATCTGCCACCCCACGGAGAACCCACAGCTGTCACCCCACGGAGACCACTGTCACCCCCAGGGAGAACCTTGTCTATCACTGCACAGAGAACCCACAGCTGTCACCCCCAGGGAACCTCATCTGTCACCCCACAGAGAACCCTGTCACCCCATATGCCACCCCACGGAGAATCCACAGCTGTCACTTAACACAGAACCCTGTCACCCCATGGAGAACCCTGTCACTCCCAGGGAACCCCATCTGTCACTCCACGGAGAATCCTGTCACCCTCAGGGAGCCCCATCTGTCACCCACAGAGAATCCACAGCTGTCACCCCCAGGAAACCCCCTCTGTCACCCCATGGAGAACCTGTCACCCCACAGAGACCACTGTCACCCCATGGAACCCCATCTGTCACCCCCATGGAGAACCCACAGCTGTCACTTAACATAGAACACTGTCACCCCCATGGAACCCACATCTGTCACCCGACAGAGAATCCCATCTGTCACCCCACAGAGAACTCTGTCACTCCCAGGAACCCCATTTGTCACCACCATGGAGAACCCTGTCACCCCACGGAGAACCCACAGCTGTCACCCCACGGAGAATGCTGTCACCCCCATGGAGAACCCAGTCTGTCACCCCCAGGGAACCCTGTCTGTCACCCCCATGGAACTCCATCTTCTACTCCACAGAGAACCCTGTCCCCCCATGGAGAACCTGTCACCCCCAGGGAGAACCTGTCAGCCCACAGAGACCACTGTCACCCGACAGAGAATCCCATCTGTCACCCCACAGAGAACTCTGTCACTCCCAGGAACCCCGTCTGTCACCCCCAGAGAACGCTGTCACCCCATGGAAAACCTGTCATGCCAGAGACCACTGTCACCCCATGGAACACCATCTGTCACCCCCAGAGAACGCTGTCACCCCCAGGGAGAACCTGTCACCCCACAGAGACCACTGTCACCCCATGGAGAACCCGTCACCCCACAGAGACCACTGTCACCCCATGGAACACCATCTGTCACCCCACAGAGACCGCTGTCACCCCCAGGGAGAACCTGTCACCCCACAGAGACCGCTGTCACCCCACAGAGACCACTGTCACCCCAGGGAGAACCTGTCACCCCACAGAGACCGCTGTCACCCCGTGGAACCCCGTCTGCCACCCCCAGAGAACCCACAGCCGGCACCCCACGGAGAACCCCGTCTGTCACCTCGCGGCGCTCCCATCTGTCACCCCTGCAGCCCCCCGCGCCGCCCGAGGACCTTGCCCCGCGTCCCCGCCGTGCGTCCCGAGTCTACCTCCCCTGGGCCGCCCGGGACCCCTCTCACCGCGGCGGGCTGCCGGCCGGCGGGCGGACGGGCACGGAGCGGGCGCCCCGGGGCTCGGCGGCTGCGGCGACTGCGCCGCTCGCGAGCAGACGGGTCCTTCCGCGGCGCCGCGGCGCGAGCCGTCAGTCAGCGGGACGCCCCGCCCCCGCCCCCGCCTGCGCAGGCGTCGGCCGGCCCCGGCCTCCCGCGGAGAGGGCGGCCCGGCGGCGTCACGTGACAGGGCGGCGCCTGCGCGGCGAGAGGCCGGCCGGGTGGGAAGGCGCAGGGGTCGCCCCCGCCCGGGGAGAGCGCAGCGAAGCCGGCCTTTCTGCGCGGATGGCTGGGTTCCTTGCTGGCTCTGCGGGCGGGGAAGAGGCAGCGGACCCCGGAGGCTTGGTCGGATCCGGGTTGCTTCCTGGTCCTGGGCGGTGTCCCGCCGTCAGCGTGAGGCCGCGGCGCCGAGCGGGCGGCTGGCCAGGCTGCAGCCCGGAGCTGCGTCTGCGCTCCCGCACGGTGCCAGGCCCCGAGCCCTTGGGCCGTCTTCCGCTGCTTTCCCGGGGCGCGTCGACGGACCGCTGCATCTGAAGAGGAGCCTTCCGGGATCGTAATTCCGCAACTGAGTCGAGTTATGAGGGTGATCCGCTCTAGCCGCCTCATCGGTGGCTCATCAGCCTCTCCCCGCTTTCCGAGTACTTAAACGGCCAAAGTTCTAGGGTTTTCTTTCAGCACGATAAATACATTCAAGCCGTGCAGTTCCTTCCACAAACCTTCAGTTAAGAAAAACCAGAAATGGCTGTGACGGAAGCTTTCTTCGTTCTAGAAGAAGAAAGTGTAGAACCAGAAACCGACAGCCCTCCCCAACCATTCTGGGTTGTGTCAAGCTTGCTCCAGCGCCCGGCGAACGTCTGGTTCCCCAGCGCGGGCACCGCCGCCTCGGATTGCAGCGCCGGCTGCAGGCTCCGCTGAGCGCTGCGCTGTGGGCTTGCAGACCCTGTAGCTAAAGATGGGGCCGGGTGGCGTGGCGCTCAGCAGCGGAGCCGCCGTTAAGGTGCCTGCACCCGTGCAGTGCCGGGGTTATATAGGGAGAGGGCGGGCTCCCTGCCCCAGGGTCAGGACCTTGGGGTTCCTAGCTTCCCCACAGGTGGAGCCCTGGGTCGGGACCTCGTCAGCCTACCGAGCATTCACCCCTTGGCCCCCCCGCCATTGTGGGCAACTGGGGAATGGACCAAGGAAAAAGACAGCTGTGTGTGTCTACCTCTGCCTCTCAGCCAAGTTGTAAAAAGGTAGAAATGAGCCGTTTGTTAAATAAAAGGGAACTGCAGGGGTTCCTGGAACAGGGCAGAAGTCCCGGCGTTAGGCAGGACTGGGAGTTCTGACGTAGGACTGATGAGCGAGCCCAGTGCTCTGCCCCAAGCACGATGACCCACCGAACCCTGGGCTGACCGGGAAAAATTTAAGAGCGCAGTGAGGGGCTGGCGCTGTGGCACAGCAGGTTAAAGCCCTGGCCTGCAGCGCTGGCATCCCATATGGGCACCGGTTCAAGTCCCAGCTGTGCCACTTCTGATCCAGCTCTCTGCTGTGGCCTGGGAAAGCAGCAGAGGATGGCCCAAGTGCTTGGGCCCCTGCACTCATGTGGGAGGCCTGGAAGAAGCTCCTGGCTCCTGGCTTTGGCCTCGCCTAGCCCTGGTCGTTGTAGCCATTTGGGGAGTCAACCAGCGGATAGAAAACCTCTCTCTCTGTCTCTACTTCTCTCTAACACTGCCTTGCAAATAAATAAATAATACATAAATATTAAAAAAAAAAGGGGGGGGGGGAGCCCAATGAAGAAAACTTGGTTAGCCGGCACCACGGCTCACTAGGCTAATTCTCTACCTGCAGCGTCGGCACCCCAGGTTCTAGTCCCGGTTGGGGCGCTGGATTCTGTCCCAGTTGCTCCTCTTCCAGTCCAGCTCTCTGCTATGGCCCGGGAGGGCAGTGGAGGATGGCCCAGGTCCTTGGGCCCTGCACCCCATGGGAGACCAGGAGAAGCACCTGGCTCCTGGCTTCGGATCGACACAGTGCGCCGGCCATAGTGGCCATTTGGGGGAGTGAACCAACAGAAGGAAACCCTTCTCTCTGTCTCTTCTGTCTCTCTCTCACTGTCTATAACTCTCTCTGTCTCTCTCTCACTGTCTAACTCTGCCTGTCCAAAAAAAAAAAAAAAAAAAGAAGTCCTGGGTAGGGCTGGGGGAACCTGGGCACAAATGTCCTCAGAGTCTGGTCTCGCCTCCTCAGGGTCGGCTCCTCCTCCCTGGTGTCGGCTTCACTGCGGATCTGCGCGGCGTGGCCTCCAGCCGCTCCAGGCTTGTGCTGTCTCTCTCTGCAGTGCCAGGGAGAAGGGATCGTCTCTCAGTAGCCAAACTTCCAGGGCCTGGTTTGAACAGACCAACGTTTGAGGCCAAACACTGCTGTTGCAGTCACCGGGCTGGACGGGAGTGGGGGTCAGACTGGCCTGTACTGTCTGAATGGAGGACAAGGAAGGGTGCCCCACCCCGGGAAAGTGGGGTGCTTTTGCCAGGAGAAGGCAGATAGATTCTGGGCAGAGAGAGGAAAGTAACAGACGTCGGCACAAAACACGCGCCAGGACATCTCAAGATACTATAGAAGAGAAGGTGACAGAAGCAGTGCGTTGGTAGGACAGCTGAGTCAGCACTTGGAACCCCGGAGGAGCCCCGAAGGCCGCGACCCAAGATAAAGCGGGCTGGGCAGGCACTGCGGAGCAGCGGGTTGACGCCCTGGCCTGAAGCACCAGCATCCCATGTGGGCGCCGGTTCAGGACCCGGCTGCTCCTCTTCCAGCCCAGCTCTCTGCTGTGGCCTTGAGCCAAGGAATGCAGAGCTCCTGAGGCTGGAGAGGGACAAGCCCCAGGGGCCACCGCCCTGCCGTCTTCCTGTGCCAAAGACCACTTTCGCCTGTCTTCATTTTTACTTAAACTTTAAAAACTGATTGTTGAGAGGCAGAGCGACAGAGAACTCTCATCTCCTGGTTCCGAATGCCCAGCACAGCTTGGGCTGGGCCAGGCTGAAGCTGGGAGCTGGAGACCCGATCCAGGTCCTCCATGCGAGTGGCAGGGACCCCTCTTCGGGCCACCACTGCTGCCTGCCAGGGTGTGCGTGAGCAGGAAGCTGGAGTCAAGAACCGGGTGCTAGGCCGGCGCCGCGGCTCACTAGGCTAATCCTCCGCCTGCGGCGCCGGCACACCGGGTTCTAGTCCCGGTCGGGGCACCGGATTCTGTCCCGGTTGCCCCTCTTCCAGGCCAGCTCTCTGCTGTGGCCCGGGAGTGCAGTGGAGGATGGCCCAAGTGCTTGGGCCCTGCACCCCATGGGAGACCAGGAGAAGCACCTGGCTCCTGCCTTTGGAAAGGCGTGGTGCACCGGCCGCAGCGCGCTGGCCGCGGCGGCCATTGGAGGGTGAACCAACGGCAAAAGGAAGACCTTTCTCTCTGTCTCTGTCTCTCACTGTCCACACTGCCTGTCAAAAAAAAAAAAAAAAAAAAAAAAAAGAACCGGGTGCTGACCCAGGGAGTCCACTCTGGGATGACGGCACCTTACCCACTAGGCTACACGCCTGTCCCAGCGCTTTAATTGAGTCATGCTGTTCGTGCTCAGCAGGCTGATCCCTGTAGAGCGCCATCAAGACTCTCATTCCCATGGCTGCACGGTGCTTCACTGTACACATGCACCACAGTTTGTGAATCCATTTGTCCCCCTGATGGACGCTGCAGGTCGGTCCAAGTTTGGGCTACTGTGGATAGTACTACATGGACACGTAGCGCAAGACTTCCGGTGAACCTAAGTTCAGTCTTTGGTTTTTTTTTTTTTTTTAAGATTTATTTATTTGAAAGTCAGAGTTAGAAAGAGAGAGAGAGAGAGAGAGGTCTTCCATCTGATGGTTCACTCCCCAATTGGCCGCAACGGCCGGAGCTGCGCCCATCCGAAGCCAGGAGCTTCTTCCTGGTCTCCCACACGGGTGCAGGGGCCCAAGGACCTGGGCCATCCAGTCTTTGTTTTAAAGCTTTGTTTACTTACCTGAAGGGAGAGTGAGAGAGATCTCCCACCCATCGCTCACTTCCCAAAGCCCACAGCCAGGGCTGCGGCAGGCTGAAGCCAGCAACGAGGAATCCCATCTGGGTCTCACGTGGGTGGTCAGGCCCAGGTCCTTGGGCCATCATCCTCTGCCGTCGCACATACATTGGCAGGAGCTGGACTGGAAGCAGAGTAGCCAGAACTCAGATGAACCCTCCAACGTGAGACGTGGACGCGGCGAGCAGCAGCTTAACCCACTGACCCTCACACGCGCCCCGTACGTTCAGTTGTAGCAGGTCGCTGGTCAGTCGTGCGTGGCAGATGAACAGGCACACCCACCGCCATGCAAGGGAGTTCTGGAGGCTTCCCACGCCTGCCAACACCTGGTGTTTTTCATACCCCTTCTGTCGGTGTGGGTTTAAGTTTGTTTCCCTGATGACTAATGAAAATGAGCGCTTTCTCATATTTGGATATTCTCTCCTTTGAAATACCTGTTTTAGTGTTTCGCCAAGTGTTCTGTTGACTTATTTTAAGTCACAATTTTTGTTTTTAAAATGAACACATCCGGCGCCCGCATCGTGGTGCAGCAGGTTAAGCCACAGCCTGTGATGCCAGCATCCCGTATGGGTGCCAGTTCAAGTCCCAGCTACTCCACTTCTAATCCAGCTCCCGTTAAAGAGCCTGGGAAAGCAGTGGAGGAAAGCCCACGTGCTTGGGCCACTGCACCACATGGGGGACCCAGATGAAGCTCCTGGTTCTTGGTTCAGCCTGGCCCAGCCCTGGCCATGGTGGCCATTTGGGGAGTGAACCAGCAGGTGGAAGATCTGTTTTTCCCTCTCTCTGCAACTCTGCCTTTCAAATAAATAAAATAAATGTTTTTATTAAAAAAATTAACACATCCCTATGGTGAAAAAAATCAATATAGACCCAATTCTGTGTTTTTCCAGGGATAGTCCATGTACCCATAAATGTATTTAATCCCTCAACTCATCCCTTCTCCACAAAGGCAGTTTTATAATGGACTTACACCCAGGACCAATCCGACTGACTCATAAAAGTCTGCCTCCTCCCTTTTCCGAGTGCAGAGCACCGTGCCGCGTGCTTAGGCATAACTCTCTCTCCAGGGCGCTGACTGGGCCGACGCCCGGCTCTGGCCCCGGCAAACCCGCTGCCGGTCACTGCCAGGTGCAAACAGCTCGGTGCTCACGGTGAGTCTGCCTGCGGGACCGATTCCCCAGGGCAGAGCTGCTGGCCGAAGATGGCGCTTACGTTTACTGTACTGCCATCACGCTTTGCAACGAGCTGGCTGAATTCTAACTGCACCAATTTGGTCTTCCTTGCCAGCACGGGGAACCACCAGCCCGCCGTCGTTGCCGGTAGCGGTATCGCCTCGTACTTCGACTGTGCACCCAGCCCTCTCTGGACGAAGCAAAGCACCCTTCCGTGAATGTGAAGGCAGCGTCCACTCACGCTCACAGGGAGTCTCCTGGGATGCTGCTCAGCTGGGAACCAGCTCCTGGGACCCAGCGCCCCCTGAGGGACACACAAGACTCACCCTGGAGACGGGCGTTCTCCATCTCTGACAAGGCACCCACGCTTGGACTTTCTGCTCCCAGCCTTCCCTGAAGTCAGGGAGAAGCAAAGCCCTGCGTGCTAGACCACAGGCTTGGCACAGAGAAGCCTCAGAGAGCAAGTCTATGGGGCCAGCAGTGTGGTGCAGCGGGTTAAGCCTCTGTCTGCAGTGCGGCATCCCATATGGGCGCTGGTTCGAGTCCCGGCTGCTGCACTTCTGATCCAGCTCCCTGCTAATGCACCTGGGAAACCAGTGGAGGACGGTCCAAGTGCTTGGGCCCTGCCACCCATGTGGGAGGCCTGCACAGAGTTCCTGTTCCTGGCTTTGGCCTGGCCCAGACCTTGCTGTTGCGGCCACTTGGGGAAGGAACCAGTGGGTTGACAATCTTTCTCTTTATCACTCTACCTTCCAGATAAATACACAAATACATTTTTTTAAAAAGATAAAAGGTAGAGGCTGAAGGGCCAATGTTGTAGCACAGCAGGTTAAGCGACCTCCTGTGGCGCTGGGATCCTGTAGGAGGGCTGGTTCAAGCCCCGGCTGCTCCACTTCCGATCCGGCTCCCTGCTAATGTGCAGGGGAGGGCAGCAGGTCACAGCCAGAGCGCTTGGGCCCCTGCACCCACGTGGGAGACCCGGATGGAGTTCCGGGCTCGCGGCGTCAGCCACTGTGGCCACCTGGGGAGTGCACCAGCAGACGAAGACTCTCTCTCTGCGACTCCGCCTTTCAGATCCATCAAACTGTAACAACAGACCTTGCTTATTTCTGTCAATAATATGAACCCAAAGAAATAAAATATCTTCAAAAACCTTAAGGGATCCTCCTACGGCTCCAGGGGCCCCAGGGGGTCCAGGGAGTCCTGCATGGGGCAGGGGGTGGTGCAGCCGGCCCCGCAGGGTCCCCAGACACAAGCTGCAACCCCAGGCCCCAGCAAGAAGTAGCCACCAGGGCCCGGGGCACTGGCGTGGTAGCTTAAGCCGCTGCCTGCAGTGCCTGCATCCCATATAGGGCGCCAGTTTGAGTCCCGGCCGCCCCACTTCTGATCCAGCTCCCTGCTTATGTGCCTGGGAAAGCAGCCCACGTGCTCAGGTCCCTGCACCTACGTGGTAAATCCGCCTCCCCCATGAAGCTCCTGGCTTTGCCCTCCCCCAGTCCCGGGCTTCTACGGCCGTTTGGGGGAGTGAGCCAGTGAATAGATCTCTTTCTATAATAGCTTTTCAAATAAATTAAGAAAAATAATAGTAAAAAGATAGCAAGTTAACCTGCCCGGCACACAGCCCCAGGGTGCCAGCAGCAGTCCTCCACGCATCAGCCGGGGCCTGGCGCGCACCTGCTGCCCGCTCCCCCAACCCGCGGAGCCCGGGACCCAGCGAGGCCGCCCGCTCCCGGCTCCGCGCTTTGCGGTGAACACCTGCTTCCTCCACCTTGCCCGCGTCCCTGGCTCGCTGAGTCGGGCGAGTGGACCCAGCTTTGGGGTCCCAGAGCCGCCCCTCCGACTAGTTTCGGGGGTGTCCCGCGAGGCGCCCGGGAGCACGCGCGGCGGCGCTGGCGGACGGCGCCGCTTGGCCCTCGCGGCAGCCCGTAGCCCCCAACCCTTCTCGTCAGACCACGACTTGGAAAGACCCCCTGGCCCCCGAGGCGGGTTCCTGGCTAAGACCGGCCTTTCCTCCGCGAACTGCCAGTCCTCAGACCCTCCGTCCCAGCCGGCGCCTGCTCGGCCCCGCACTCCGCCTCCGGGGCCCCGCGCCCCGACCGCGGCCGCCACTGCGCAGGCGCGGCGCCGCTGACCCCGCAGGGTTCACTTCCGGCGGCCGCTCGGCCCGGCGCTCCAGCCAGGGCTGAGGGCTCGCGCGTCCGCCCGGCTTCGCCCTCTCCCGCCCGGCCCCGAGCCGAGCCGCGCCGCGCCGCGCCGCGCCGCGGGGCCCGCTCCGGCCCGGCCATGAGCGCGGCCGCATGATGCGGCGCTGCCTCGGCTGCAGCCGCCGCCGCCGCCGCCGCCGCCCGGGAGGAGCCGCAGCGCCGGGCGACCCCGCCCGGGCCTCGGGTGAGTGCGGGGGCCGCGCCGAGCCGGCGCTCACGCCCGCGGCGCAGCCGCTCCCCGGAGCCCCGCGGGCTCTGCGCCGGCGCCCGGCCTCTCCTTGCGGCTCCCGGCCGCCGTCGCGGTCGGGCCCGAGGCGCAGCCCCGCTGCTTGCCTGGCTTCGGGCGGCGCGCTCCGCTCCCGCGCGGCTAATGAGGGGGTGGTTTTATGGTTGTTTATGGGCACGGATTACAATGGGCTTTCTCGCACGTGGCCCTGGGGCTTCTGCAACGCCCGTGTCCCTCCCCGCCTTGTGCGGCGTTTACTCGGTGCCCGCCTTCCGGGCCGTGGATAGGGCGGCGCTCGGGGGGCTGTAGGCGGTGGAGACAGCCATGCGCTGGTGAACAACCGCTGTCTGAGGACGGCCGGACTGCTGCCTGCTCGGCTGCGCTGTCCGGGCTGCGGCCGCCCTGGTCCGAGTGCAGACGGCGCCGTGCGCGGCAGCGCTCCGTGCCTGCGGCGATCGGCTCGGCTCCGGCTGCCCCCGTGCGCTGGACGTGGAAGTCCGGCTCCATCGCTTCCGGCTCTGGGTGGTGACCGCGAGCTGCCCTCACCTGAAGTCCCCGGAGTCACCTTGGTCCGCGTGCCCGCGGGGCGGCTGGCCGGCTGCCGACCGGGAAGTGGGCGCTCGCCCCGGGGCGGCCCGAGGCTGGTGCTGTCCGGGAAACGCGTTTGTGCCCGCGCTGGGAAGCAGAAGGGGTGGAGACAGGGGTCTGGATTTGGCCTGCTGGAGGGAGGTAGACTGGTTGACGCACACCCGGGAGTGGCGGGGTGGGACACAAGGGGCCAGCGTGGCTGGGCGCCCCGAGCTGCCTCTGACCTGCCCAGAGCAGGCCGATGAAGTGGAGCCTGGCGCCCCGCTCCTACTGCGCTGTGACACGGAGCCTCCTGCAGGGAGCGGGGTGTGGGAGAGCAGCGCTCGCTGCCCTGACCTTTCCAAAGATTTGTTTGTTTAATTGAAAGAGTTACACAGAAGGGAGGCAGAGAGAGAGGCCTTCCACCCTCTGGTTCACTCCCCAATTGGCCGCAAAGCCAGGAGGCAGGAGCTTCTTCCGGGTCCCCCGCGTGGGTGCAGGGGCCCAAGGACTTGGGCCATCTTCTGCTGCTTTCCCAGGCCACAGCAGGAAGCTGGATGGGAAGTGGAGTAGCTGGGCCTCGCACCAGCGTCTGTATGGGATGCCGGCAGTGCAGGCGGTGGCTTCACCCGCTGCGCCACAGCGCCGGCCCCATGCCGCGACCTTTGGTGCAGACCTACTTTCAACTTCTCGCAGGAACTGCTGCCTGCCGGCCTGGACTCGCGATGATGTAAGTCGTTCAGTCGTGGTTCATGTGAGCAAAGAGCACTGGGCAGACTTCCCGTGCGCAGCCGGCGTTGGGCTGAGCTCGCAGTGTCCTGCGTGGAGAACTGCACACACAGATCTGCAGCAGCAGGAAAGAGGAGGGCGGTGCTGTGGCAGGGTAAAACCCATAGGGACGCCGGTTCGAGTCCGGCTGCTCCACTTCTGATCCAGCTCTCTGCTGTGGCCTGGGAAAGCAGTAGAAGATGGCCCTGCACCTGTGCGGGAGACCTGGAGGAAGCTCCTGGCTCCTGGCTTCAGATCGGTGCGGCTCCGGCCATTGCAGCATCTGGGCAGTGGGTCTTCCATCTGCTGGTTCACGCCCGGGATGGCCACAACAGCCAGGGCCTGGCTAGGCTGTAGCCAGGAGCTTCATCCGCGTCTCCCAGTGGATGGTAGGGGCCCAGCCATCTTCCGCTGCCTTTCTCATTCGCAAGGAGTTGGATTGGAAATGGAGCAGCCGGGACACAGGCAGCGCCTACGTGGGATGTCCGCGTTGCAGGCCGCGACTTTACCCGCTACACAAAGATGCCGGTCCTGGGCTATGTTTCTTTAGAAAAAGCCACTTTGGAGCTGGCATTTGGCAAAGTGAGTGAGACATTGCTCAGGATGGCCCCTCCCATGGTGGGGTACCTGGGTTCATAGCCCGGTTCCACTCCTGATTCCAGCTTCCGGGCGGTGGGTTAGGGTACCAGGGTCTCTGCATCCTCGTGGGAGACCTGGATTGGGCGCCCAGCTCCTGAACCGGCAAATGGGAGCTGTCTGTCTGCCTCTCAGATAGATAAAAATAAATACACTCATTAATTAAACAGTTTTAATTGGGGTCCAAGTACTGGAGCAGAGTGTGAAGTGTAAGGTCAAGGTGCGTTCTCACTGGGCATGCTTGTTCCCAAAGCAGTCTTCAGAGTGGGCGTTCCCAGCTGGCCTGGCCCTTCAGCTGGGAGCTGTGAGAAGCGTTCAGCTAGCTGCAGAGTTTGGGGGCACAGCCCACAGGAAGGCCTCACGGAACTCGAGGTGTGTATGTCACCGTTAGGGTGTATTAAGGGAAAGGCTGCAAATAAAACCAGTCCTGAGCAGAAGCCTGCGGGGCGGAGTCAGGGAAGTGGCATGTGACCAGAGCCCTGGTCGCTCCCCTGTGCCATCAGGGCGGCCCTGGTGCATGCCCGGGGCCCTGGTCACCCTCTCTGTGCCGTCAGGGCTGCCCTGGTGCGTGCTCGGGGCCTGGTCGCCCTCCCTGTGCCGTCAGGGTGGCCCTGGTGCGTGCCCGGGGCCCTGGTCGCCCTCCCTGTGCCGTCAGGGCGGCCCTGGTGCGTGCCCGGGGCCCTGGTCACCCTCTCTGTGCCGTCAGGGCTGCCCTGGTGCGTGCTCGGGGCCTGGTCGCCCTCCCTGTGCCGTCAGGGTGGCCCTGGTGCGTGCCCGGGGCCCTGGTCACCCTCTCTGTGCCGTCAGGGCGGCCCTGGTGCGTGCTCGGGGCCTGGTCGCCCTCTCTGTGCCGTCAGGGCTGCCCTGGTGCGTGCTCGGGGCCTGGTCGCCCTCCCTGTGCCGTCAGGGCGGCCCTGGTGCGTGCCCGGGGCCCTGGTCGCCCTCCCTGTGCCGTCAGGGCGGCCCTGGTGCGTGCCCGGGGCCCTGGTCGCCCTCCCTGTGCCGTCAGGGCGGCCCTGGTGTGTGCCCGGGGCCCTGGTCACCCTCTCTGTGCCGTCAGGGTGGCCCTGGTGCATGCCTGGGGCCTGGTCGCCCTCTCTGTGCCATCAGGGTGGCCCTGGTGTGTGCCCGGGGCCCTAGCTGGCCCCCCGTGCTGTCAGGGCAGCCCTGGTGCGTGCCCAGGGCCCTGGCCGCTGCCCCTGTGCCATCACGGCAGCCGAGATGCGTGCCCGGGGCCCTGGCTGCTCCCCTGTGCCGTCAGGGCGGCCGTGGTGAATGTTCGCGTCCCAGGGACGCTCACCTGAGCACCGCTGTCCCGTTTCGCGAGGCCTCCGTTACGTGAGCCTGGCTGATGGATGGACTGCTCTTGCGGCTGATCTGTTTCTGTGTAGACACTGTGTGACCCCAGCTCCCCCTCAGATCACATTTTTTTTGTCTTTTGGATGTGGCCAGACCCCACCCTAAATCACGTTGCTGGCCAAGGACAGAAGCCAGTCCTTTTTCTGATATGGTTGATTGAAAAAAAATTATTTTTTTAAAAAGATTTTTTTATCTGTGAGGCAGAATTAGAGAGAGAGAGAAGTTCATCTGCTGGGTCACCCTGCAAATGGCCGCAGTGGCTGGAGTTGGGCCAATTCGAAGCCAGGAACTTCTTCTGGATCTCCCACGCGGGTACCGGGGCCCAAGCGCTTGGGCCATCCTCCACTGCTTTCCCAGGCCACAGCAGGGAGCTGGATCGGAAGAGGAGCAGCCGGGACTTAAACTGGAGCCTGTGGGGGTGCCAGTGCTATAAGCGGATGCTTCACCTACTACGCCATAGCACCACCCTTAGATGATTATTATTTTTGATTGATTGATTTGAAAGGCAGAGTCAGAGAGAGAAAGGTCTTCTGTCTGGTGGTTCACTCTCCAAATGGCCACAGCTGCCAGAGTTGGACCTTTGTGAAGCCAGGAGCTTCCTCCAGGTCTCCCACGTGGGTGCAGGGGCCCCAGCACTCGGGCCGTCTTGTGCTGCTTTCCCAGGCACATTATCAAGGAGCTGGATTGGAAGTGGAGCAGCCAGAACTCCAACCGGTGCCCATCTAGGCTGCCAGTGCCACAGGCAGCAGCCTCACCCTCTGGGCCACAGCACCGCCCCAGGGTTAAATTCTTTACCACATGGCACCCTCCTGCTTTCCTCGGCCTTGACAGATGGCGTAGATGCTGCAGGAGGAAGGAGCTGGGAGAGTCCTGACCTTGGTTTCCTCTGACGCGCGTGTGCCTCAGCGCCTGTCAGTCTCCCACCCCAGCTGCCGAGGAAGGGAGAGCCCTGCGTCGTCGTGTCCGTGCCTTGGGCCCTGTCATGGGGCTGAGTAGCGTTCACTGTTACTCGCCGCGTGGTCTTCCCTTTCCCTTGCTTCCTTACCTCCATCTACAGACCTGTGCTAACCTTGCTACTCTTAGTTCTGGGCGCCACCAGCTTCTGATCCATTCCTGAAAAACATTTGCTAGAATCCTTTTAATCCTTTCATAAGATCCGAGTTCCTATGGGGCCAGTATCAGGCCTTCTGTTGTTTCAGTATCATATAGTTCTTTTTTAAGGATTTGTTTGAAAGAGATACAGAGAGAGAGGAAGAGACAGAGATCTCCTGTCCGTTGGTTCACTCTCCAGGTGGCCACAAGAGCCAGGACTGGGCAGGCCGAAGCCCGGCGCCCAGAACTCCATCCAGATCTCCTGTGTGGTGGCGTGGGCCCATGCACTTGAGCCGTCCTCAGGATGCATTAGCAAGAAACCGGATCAGAAGTGCAGCTGGGGCTTCACCTGCTGCACCACACTCCTGCCTCTTCCAGTGTCTCTCTCTCTCTTTTTTTTTTTTTTTAAGATTTTTTAAATTTATTTAAAAGGTAGAGTTATAGACAGACAGAGAGAAAGGTCTTCTGTCCACTGATTCACTCCCCAAATGGCTGCAAAGGCCAGAGCTGGGCTGATCTGAAGCCAGGAGCAGGAG